TTGTGTCCCTTATTGAGCATGTGGTTGGTCACAGCCCAGCCTGGAGGCTATATTTGTCTGATCGCACACAACAGTCACCTGAGACTGAGGGAAGTGGAAATGCGGGACATGAAAGGACATTTTCAGATGCTGACGCTGCCTGAGGGGCTGGCCGATATAGAATCATGTTTCCACTTTGGGTATAGATAAAAAGGTCAACTGATAAAGTTGAAAACAGGAAATAGAGATAAAATGTTGAGTATAATGTTTAAAAAAGATATTTCAAAAAATGTTGCAAACCTGTAACCATTCACTTCCATAGTGGGAAAAACAAATGCTATAGAAGTCAATGGTTACAGGTTTCCAATATTTTTCTAAATATTTTCTGTTTAACACAAAAGTAGATATTTAGAAAAATGTTAGAAACCTGTAACCATTGACTTCCATCTTAGGGAAATTGAATATTATGAAGGTCAATGGTTACAAGTTTCCAACATTTTTCTAAATATTTTCCATTGAACACAACAAAAGATATTTAGAAAAATGTTGTAAACTTGTAACCATTGACTTCCATAGTGAATGAATGCCATGAATGTCAATGGTTACATGTTTCCAACATTTTTCTAAATATCTTCTTTTGTTTAACAGAAGATATTTTAAAAAAATGTAGGAAACCTGTAACCATTGACATCTATAGCATTTGTTTTTCCTACTGTATGTCAATGGTTACAGGCTTCCAACATGTTTCTAAATATCTTCTTTTGTATTTAACAAAATATTTAGAAAAATGTAAGAGACCTGTAACCATTGACATCCATAGTTGGAAAAACAGATGGTATTGGATGCCAATGGTTACAGGTTTGCAACATTTTTCTAAATATCTTCTTTTGTGTTTAACAGAAGATATTTAAAAAAACAATGTAGGAGACCTGTAACCATTGACATCCATAGCATTTGTTTTTCCTACTGTATGTCAATGGTTACAGGCTTCCACCATTTTTCTAAATATCTTCTTTTGTGTTTAACAAAATATTTAGAAAAATGTAGGAGACCTGTAACCATTGACTTCTATTGCATTCGTTTTTCCTACTATGGAAGTCGGTGGTTACAGGTTTCCAACATTTTTTTAAAACATCTTTTTTGTGTGTCTGTGTGTGTTTAACAGAAATTACAAAAACGAAAAATCGTATTTGACCATGTTACAGAAATTAATGACTTGTGACTAGCTGAACAGAGGTGTGCTATTACATTTCTATTAAATCTCATACTGTATGCCACCTGAAGATGAGGAGAATTTCTCTTACAGATATGTTATTACACCTCACCTCCCTTAAATAATTGTAAAGGTTGTGTTCAAGGGATTGCAGGTCAAGAATCAATGGGTGAAAGCTGGCCAAACAGGTTTAGAGGGTTTCTGTAGACACAGACGAAATTGTGTTTGGTATGCAAAATATTTGCTAAAGGGAGTGGACAGTGTCGCGCTATCGCTGATCGAAAGAGTACAGTGTGAATTCTCAAGCGCTTCAGTTTCACAAAAACAACCAGATGTGCCTTGTAGAAAAAGATTTTGACTTGAAACTGGTGTTCAAAACATTTAACAGAAAGTTATTCATTAGGCACAAGAATGCAAGTAAATCATTGTGTACATTTAGTGCAAGGCTTAGTTGTAAAGTGTTTAGGCAAATGAATGTTAATCCCAAAAATCTAAATTTACTCATGATTTACTTTCCCTCAAGCAGTTAAAGAAAAGCAGTTCTTTATTTTGCTGAACACAAAAGTAGATGTTTAGAAAAATGTTGGAAACCTTTAACCATTGACTTCCATAGTAAGTAAAATGAATGATATGGATGACAATGGTTACAGGTTTCCAACATTTTTCTAAATATCTTCTGTTAACGAAAAAAAAAAAAGATATTCAGAAGAATTTAAGAAACCTGTAACCATTGACTTCCATAGCTGGAAAAACAAACGCAATAGAAGTCAGTGGTTACAGGTTTCCAACATTTTTCTAAATATATGTGTTTTGTTTAAGAAGATATTTAGAAAAATGTTGGAAACCTGTAAACATTTACTTCCACAGTAGGAAAAAACAAATGCTATGAATGTCAATGGTTACAGGTTCTCAACATTTTTACTAAATATCTTCTGTTAAACACAAAAGAAGACATTTAGAAAAATATTGGAAACCTGTAACCACTGAGTTCATGGTAGGAAAAACAAATACGGATATCAGTGGTAACAGGTTTTCAACATTTTTCTAAATATCTTCTTTTGTGTTTAACAAAAGATATTTTAAAAATGTTGGAAACCTGAAACCATCAACTTCCATAGCAATTGTTTGTCCTACCATAAACTCAGTGGTTACAGGTTTCCTACATTTTTCTAAATATCTTCTGTTAAACACAAAAGAAGATATTTAGAAAAATGTTGGAAATCTGTAAGCATCGACTTCCATAGTAGGAAAAATAAATGCTATGAATGTCAATAGTCACAGGTTTCCAACATTCTTCTAAATGTCTTCCAAAAAAAATGTTGGAAACCTGTAACCATGGACATCCATAGCATTCGTTTTTCCTACTATAGAAGTCAATGGTTTCAGGTTTCCAACATTTTTCTAAATATCTTCTATTAAACACAAAAGAAGACAGTTAGAAAAATGTTGGAAATCTGTTAGCATCGAGTTCCAAAGTATTACAATATTAATACTATGGATGTCAATAGTTACAGTTTTCCAACATTTCCCTAAATAAAATCTGTTAAACAAAAGATATTTAGAAAAATGTTGGAAACCTGTTACTATTGACTATTGTCTAAGCATTTGTTTTTTCCTACTATGAAAGTCAATGGTTACAGGTTTCCAACATTTTTCTAAATATCTTCTGTTACATACATTAGAAGATATTTAGAAAAATGTTGAAAATCTGTAATCATTGACTTCCATAGTAGGAAAAATAAATGCTATGAATGTCAATAGTCACAGGTTTCCAACATTCTTCTAAATGTCTTCCAAAAAAAATGTTGGAAACCTGTAACCATGGACATCCATAGCATTCGTTTTTCCTACTATGGAAGTAAATGATTACAGGTTTTCAACATTTTTTAAATATCTTCTATTGTATTTAACAGAAGATATTTAGAAAAATGTTGGAAACCTGTAACCACTGACTTCCATTGTAGGAAAAACGAATGCTACAGACGTGAATGGATACAGGTTTCCAATATTTTTCTAAATATCTTCTTTTGTGTTCAACAGAAGAAAGATACTCAAAGCTTTGAAGAATTAGCAAGATGACATAATTTTCATTTTTGGCCTAACCATCCCTTTAAAAGATGTCATCATGTTGTCTTACGTCATAAGTTAAGTTTCAGTTTGGATGACAAAGTTGGTCACAGTTTCCATGACTCACCTGTACACTATGTACTTCACATGTGATCATAAGACACATTATTCATTAGAAACCAGCAGTTTAGCACAAAACAAAACCCGTTTCATAGAACATAAATCATTTATTTAAAGGTGATGTGCCTTAGGCGAAGCGGGTTTTAACAGCTGCTTTTCATTTATAGGTACAGTGATGTTTAAAACAAAAAGACTGACAGATGATTTGATAAATAACCTGTTAGTGAAGGTTCTCAAATTACAAGCCAAACTCGTATTATAAGACATAATAATGATCCCCACAGAAAGAAATAAACATGTTCAATCAAAGGTTAAAATATGTGAAATATGTGAGACACAGTTCTGGAACATTAACATGCCAAGAAACGTCGACAACTCATGTGCAATTCACAAGAAACTATTTCAAAACTGTGTGATGTTAATGTGATTAGCACACGTTAAACTCGTGTTTAAAACATAATTTGAGTCAAATATGAAACAACACAAGTGCTACGATCAAATTAAGTTACAATTTTAATCCAAAAAAGATGGGTTGGTCCATATTTTACCCAAATTTGTATACACTTCATTAGGAGTTTGTTTCTTTCTGTAAGAGAAAAGCTTGTTACCGGACACAGATGTATTTTAAAGGGATATCTCACCCCCATATTTAAAGAACCACATGAGTGAGAGTAAATAATAAGCTATTAAAAATGTCATTCTTCTGGTGAACACAAAAGAAGATACTTTGAAGAGTGACATTAACATCCATACTAGTTAAAAAAAAATACAATGGAAGTCAATGGATAACATAGCAGCATTCTTCAAAATATCTTTTTTGGTGTTCAACAGAAGTAAGAAACAAAGTGAAATGGTGAGTAAATAATTTAAATAATTGTCATTTCTGAGTGAACTATCCCTTTACACCTTCAGGTTCCAACAATTAAATATGACATCACTGACAACAACATTGACCTAATTATAGCTCTAAAGCACAGTGCAGTATAAAAACTGTGGCATAAAAAAGTAAGGTAGTTAGTCACTCTGGAAAAACGAATGCTATGGATGTCAATAGTTACCAGTGTCCAACATTTTGAAAAATACTTTGTTAAACCCAAAAGAAGAGATTTAGAGAAATGTTGGAAACCTGTAACCATTGACTTCCATAGTAGGAAAAATGATTGCTATGGATGTCAATGGTTACAGTTTTTCAACATTTTAAAAAATATCTTCTGTTAAAGACAAAAGATATTTAGAAAAATGGTGGAAACCTGTAACCATTGACTTCCATAGTATAAAAAAAAAAAAAAAAAAAAAAAAAAAAAAAGAATGGCACGTATGTCAATGGTTACAGGTTATCTTCTGTTAAACACAAAAGATATTCAGAAAAATGGTGGAAACCTGTAACCATTGACTTACACAGTAAAAAAAAAAACAAATGCCACGGATGTCAATGGTTACAGGTTATCTTCTCTTAAACACAAAAGAAGATATTTAGAAAAATGTTGCAAACCTGAAACCATTTCTGACCATTACTCATTCTGACTAACTAGCAAAAATTGTGGTTAATAATCAAATTTGATGTAAAAGGCTTAAAAAAAACAAGTTCACACTAACATAAACATAAAAAAACAATCAGCAGTCACAGGCTCATAAATTTGTATTAAATATCTTTCGCAAGCACATCTCACGTAACAACAGAACAATTTGGCTCGGATGCTTCTCTTCAAGTGTTACAAAACAGCCCTGAGAGCAAACTCAATGCTTTTGTTGAAGAAACAGTTTGTTCCGTTCAAACGTTTTGTCACGAAGGTCTGAAAAAAAAACAGTTTATTTACAGTGTTTCAATGAACTCTACAGATAAATATGTATCAGTTTTATCATGCTCTCAGCAAGTGCTGGTTTCCGTGTTGCCCGAGCTGGATGTATACGTGTTTGTCCTTTTAGAGTACTTCATAGAGCTGAACGAGACCCTCATTCTCTCCACCGTACGACTGCTGCGGCACTGCAGCGTGTTTTTAACTTCCTCTCTGAAATCATCCGAGACGTAATAATAGATGAACGGGTCGAGGCAGCTGTTGAGGCTTGCTATACAGAGCGCGGTGAGATAAAATCCATAGCTGGCGTTAAAGCTATTGTTTCGCAAGAGAGAGTAGTGCACCACCAGCATCACATTACTTGGGATGAAGCAAACCAAAAACGTAATGAGCACCGTGACGATGAGAATCACGGCTCGTTTGCGGCTTTTTCCAGCACTGCCTTTGACTGACGAGTTGCCAAGAGAGCGAAGGAGGAGAACGTAAGCCATGATGATGACCACCATTGGGACGAAGAACACCAGACCTGCCATCACCATGAAGTAATAATAGGGCTCCTGTACATCCAAAAACGCATTGTGGTTATCGAAACTCTTCTTGGTGATGATGTTGACGTCGTGGCAGGTAGTGATGTTGAGGTCTTGCAGTTGAACGGTTTGATTGTAGAGATATAGAGGTGTTGTGCTGACCCCGATGAAGACCCAGACGCACACAGATATGATGATAGCCAACCTGTTGTCTCTTCTTTGCTGGGTGAGCGGGTGAGCGCAGACCCAGTATCGCTGGACGCTTAAGCAAGTGATGAAGAGGATGGAGCAGTACATGTTCCCGTAGAAGAAGCCCACTGATACTTTGCACATCTCCTCGCCATACGTCCAGTTATTCCCTTTTAAATGGTAAGCAATCTTTAGAGGCGTCCAGATGACGAACATCAGGTCTGCAAGTGCCAGGTTGCCCATGTAAATGGCAGCTGGGTGTACTTTCTTTGACCTGAACAGGAGGACGTATATGGCCATTGCGTTGGTTGGCAACCCGACCACGAAGACTATTATGTAAATAATAGGCATGAAGACTGTTGTCAGACTGCTCTGCAGAGTTTCTCTAGCGATCTGATCGACAAACATGTGGCCTGCATCATTCTGTATCACTACTAAACTTCGTCCTTTGCCTGTGCCTGAAATAGAACACGTTGATTAGTTTAAATGACTGAATTGCAAAAAAGCCAAACTTTTAAAGGGATAGTTCCACAATTATTAATTAATTAATTAATAAAAACAAAAATTAATTTTGTTTCCAACCTTTATAAGTTTCTTTCCTTGTGTTAAACACAAAAGAAGATACTTTGGAACAGGGTTTCTGCAGGTTCACCAAGACTTTTTAAGACATTTTAAGACCATCGTGAATTAAATTTTAGACTTATACAGAGCTAAATGCTGAGGATTTTTTTCCGAATATTCGAGTTAGAAAAGATTTTCACTTGCCCTATCAAAAATGATTAAAATTTAATACATTTAATAATGCAGGGATGTAACGATTCACACGACTCACGATTCGATATGATTCTCAATACTACTCTCACGATTTAGTCATGATTTTTTAACAAAATTATTTGAAACAAATTTAAGGTGAAGAGCCCTTTAATTTTTCTTACTTAAATGCTGCACATTTTTTGCTAAATATAATATATTTTTTGCTATAACTAAATTGCGATAAGAAAAATACAACTAAATACTCATTAATATAAACAAACTAAAACTGTGCTGGAATTTTAACTATTTTTAAAAAAAGAAATATCAGAATATCTCTGTTTTCTGGCATAAGCTGAGGTCTTTTCACATTTACAGTGTTTACTGCTGATAATTTTTTTTTTTAAAAACTCTTTTACTGGGGACTGGCCACTAGCATAAATTACTGATTATAAATGTACTTCTTATAAAGTAGAACAGAGACAGGAGTTGAACATGATTATGAAGGTGAATAATTACTTGTATAATTGTGTTTGGCTTATTAATAGTTTTTTTTGCGTATAGATGCCTGTGACAGTTTTTGTGCTGACGGTTTATGTTATGCATCATAGTAGTTGTTCTGCTAGTTTAATAAAATGTCTTTTTGCAGTATTTGCACACAGTTTGTTGTTTTTGTCATTTTACCCTGCTGCGCCACCTCTTGCTCGCCGCTCATGTGCAGGTAAAGCGAGTTTGTGCCTGTAAACCCAGCGCCCCCTATGTTCAAAACATGTATTGCGATTAATTCAACATTTCAACTGGTTTGAATAGTCACATATTTGATTCGATTTTCAACCGACTCACGATGAACCACTACATCCCTAAAAATAATAATATTTTAGCTTGAATATTTCTTTTAATTAACTTTTAAATATATCCATTCACAAACCCTACAACCCTTACCAAGAATAAACAAAACAGCTGTCAATTACTTCAGTCTACAATAATAATAATTTAATAATGAAAAATATAAGTCAGGACAGTATCCTCAGCAGTAAATAAATGAAGAACTTTTGAGCAAATGTTACTGTAATAAAAGTAATTAAATGCTATTTTTATTTCCATAAAAAGTTTAAACTTTTATTGAGATGGATTGTTGGTGATTGTATTGGTGTTTATGGCCAGACTGGGTAGCTATACATGAACAAAGTAGAATTAAGACCTGTTAAGAAAAGATTTAAGACCTACAACACAGCATTTCAATAGATTAGACATTTTAAGACTTTTTAAGACCCCACAGATACCCTGTTGGAAACAAGCTGGAAGTCTGTAGGTATTGTCTTTCATAGTAAAGTTGTAGGTAAAGTTGGTTTTATGTTCGCATATTGTTTCACTGACAGCTTGTAACACGCTCCCTACATTGTTTACCCTAGTACTTTGAATATTTGGTCTGAAATCACATCCAAGTATGACTTCAAAATAACATTAGCACTATTTTTTGACTGTAAACAAACTTTTACTTTAATATTATTATTATTATTATTATTATTATTAATAATTGTAATAATTTTGATTAATATAGCGCCTTTCCAGAGCTCAAGGACACTTTACAAAGAATGCGACAAAAAGAGACTGTATAAGCAGATAAATGTAGAGACAGCATTAGATACAAAAACACACAGGAAGTCAAATATAACAAACAGGAAATTAAAAAAACAAGTCCCAAGAGACAAATAAGCAGAGTGCAGGTGGATCAGATAAAGTGGTCAGTTTGTCCGATCAGAAGTGAAGCATTCAGAAAAAATTATTTAGTTTTAAGTAAAGATTTCAATTCTGAGATATTATTAGCAGAACAGAGTAAGCGTGGTAGAGAGTTCCAGAGTTTGGGTGCAATAACACTAAATGATCTGCCCCCCATTGAGGAGAGGCGGTACCGAGGGACAGCGAGAAGGCCAGAGTCAGCAGAACGTAATGAGCGAGTAGGGGTGTAGGGGACAAGCCCGCTGCAAAGATAAGTCGTTGGCTGCTAATTTGATTTCCATATTCAGAATTGGCAAAGAATACAGTACTTTTCAAAAATTATATTCAGACAAATCTGAATGTGTGAATATCAAACCAACTTTACCTCAATGTTACAAGACCACCCACCATTACGGATGTTTTTATCTTATCAAATAACTTATTGGTCCAACTTTTGCTGACTTCACTGTACTTAAAGTGATAGTTCACCCCCCAAAAATAAACTTGACCCTGTTTGCTCATGTTCAAGTGGTTACAAACCTTTATGGAGTCTCTTTATACAACACAAAAGAAGCTATTTTGCACCTATTGATTTCTATAGCATCTGTTCCTACGATGTGTACAGAGTGAGGTAAAGTTGGTTTTACATTTGGTTATTTGTTCAGTGACAACTTGTGACATGCTCCCTATATTGCTTAGCATGGTACTTTGAATATTCGGATTGAAGTATGACTTCAAAACAACATTTGCACTATTTGTTGGACTGTGAACAATGGTGTACTTTGATAGTCATTGGCTGCTAATATGATTTCACTGTTCCTAATTAGCAAATAAAACTTTTCTGAAATTATATTATTAAGGAGGAAATTTTAATATATGAATATAAAACCAACTTCTATACCTTTCACTTGTTCAAAACCTACTTGAAATTCCTTGTTTTGTTGACCACAAAAGAAGATATTAAGTCTGGTAGACTACACCTTTAACCTCTGTAGAATTTCTTTCCTACTATGGAAGAGTGAGGTAAAGTTGGTTTTATGTTCGTACATTGTTTCAGTGACAACTTGTGGCACGCTCCCTAAATTGTTTATCATAGTACTTTGAATATTCTGTCTGAAATTACATCCAAGCATGACTTCAAAACAATACTAGGACTATATTTATTTGTGAACAGTGTTGTACTTTAATGGACTTTGGCTGCTAATATGATTTCACTATTTAGAATCTGAAAATAATACTTTTCTGAAATTATATTATTAAGGAGAAAGTCCTAATGTGTGAATGGGTAATTCTTTGGGCGCTTTTATGTCCTTTGATCATATATCCACAAATATATACAATTATATTCAAAATTCTCTTTCTTTGTCAAACTAACAATAAAACCTACTTTGAATTTTTTAAAAACATTTCTATTATATATATTTTTTAATATTATTCAACGTTTTTACCTTGTCGCACACCCTGAGTTTTAAACTTCAAAAATGACAATAACATTTTAAAATATTATTTATCTGGTATCTACTAATGTATTTTAATAAAGCCCTAGTGAAATAATTTAAATATTTTATAGTTAATAATGTGAGACTATTATCAATATTATTTTTTATACAAAATTTAGCTGTCGCACAGTATCAGTGTCATTTCAACCACAACACTGTAATGTCGCTTTAAAAGTTTGTGTGAAAGATTATTTGAGGTGGTTTCTATGAAAATGAATAGTGACATCTGAGAACATGTTCAAGATGGAGGGAACTTAAAGTTTTTTCAACAACGCTTGAAGAAAAGTCAAGATAAATATTGCTTGATAAGGAAATACATTTAATCTATGTCATTTCCAAACAAGCTGTACCTTCAAAGATGTTTTTAAAAATCAAACAAAATTAAGGTAAATAAGAGTGTTTTGTATACAAGAAAGGCTAGTATCAATTCAAAGCTAATCGTTGAAGCTATTTGTCATTTTTTCACAATAAACTGTAGAAATGTCATTTCCACCACTGTCATTTCCATCACCACACTCATTTTAAAATATTTAAAAAGTTTTCATCACACATTAAAAGTGTTTTCACAATGTATGAGTTCATGCTCTATTTAATATACAAATTCAGTTGATTTATTTTCTAATAAGCTCTTAACCAAATTAATATTACATTTTTGAGTGTGTACAATTCAGCATTACACTAATAACTAATTTATTTCACTGACTAATGTATATATATATATATATATATATATATATATATATATATATATATATATATATATATATATATATATATATATAGTGGAATGATTGGTTAAACTACATACAAAGATTATCTCAGACAATGTTTGACTGCCATAATTTATTTCATTTTGAAATAAGCTGTACATAGAGATGTGGTGGAATTGACATTTGTTCAGTTTATGATGATGGAAAAAAATCTTTCTTCTTATCTAGGTTTGTCCTCTTGCAGATCTTAAAACTAGACAAATTGTTTAAACTCATGAGGCTATGTTACGTTAATTTTGAAGTTTTTTTACTCAACTCCACAAGACTAAAAGTGCCCGTAGTTGAAGAATTGCCCGAATAAAACCAAATTTACCTCAAACTATGGAAGTTTGGGTCCCATCAACCAGCATTCTTCCAAAAATCTTATTTTGTGTTCAACAGAACAATGAAACTCACAAAGGTTTAACTTAAAAGCACACAGAATAAATTAGGTAATTTTTATTTATTTTGGTCGAACTATCCCTTTAATAGCCTACACATCTAACAACATTTACTGATTTTACTGACTGGAGTCTAGAAAGACGCATGTTAAACGTAAGTCTTTGGACTAACACTAGAGCAACGCACAAAACAGGTGTATTAAAGTATTTCAGATAAAATGAAGCAACTCACCTGGCTGGGCAGAAGCAAAAATGACACACGCCAAAAATAATAAAATCCTGTAGCTCTCGGACACCGCCATATTCCGCTTTTTCCTCTAGTACTCCTAAATCCTAAAAAGATTTCCTGAAGCGTTGAGTTCTGCCGTTCCTCTGCGGGAAATGTTTTCAGTCGACCTAAAAGAGTCACTAGGACACACCTTAACCCCATTCAAGAGAGTTTAGTGCACGTCGTACCTGTGTGACGTCACACGCCAGACGCGATCCAGTCAGATCCAGCTGAACCGAGAGGTGAGTTTCGACCGAAATCAACCACAGGATCTGCGCATGGGAGGAGAGTAACACCGATAGTGTATTCCTGATAGTCACACTGAAACTGTATTACTAATAACAATAATACTGTACAATAACAATATATAAAAGTGTTATTTAAAGATGATACATGATTTGTGAGTAAAATGAGGTTTAAAAAATCGTTTAAGAAATATTAAATGGCACAATATTAAGGGGATTGCTGATCTGGATGTTATGTATAAATTTTGGATTTTAATGTTTTTATTGTTTTTTGTTGTTATGTATTAATATAATTTTGTGTTGTGTTTGATGGACCCCAGGAAGAATAGCCACTACCTAGGGGCTAAAGGGGATAAATAAAAATAAATAAATAAAAGTAAAAATGATTTAACATTTTAGACCACAACTTATTGTTGTTATTGTCAACAAAAAAGTTAAAATATAACAAATTTTCGTTGAAATATTAATATTAAAAGAAACCTTAATTGAAAAATTGGGTTGTCAACTAATTTAACAATATCTAAAACAAAAAAATAAAATACAGTAATGCAATACTAAAAGTAAAACAATACAACTTATGGTAAAACAACCCTGTAGACAGGGGGGTTCGGATGGTTTGAAAGACAAAACCCCCTACTGATAAAAGGTCCGGTATTATCCCAAACATGAGCTCATTTGTCCTATATTGACTGCTATTCCATTATATAATGTAAAAATAACCCATCAAAGAAGGCTTCCAATGAATCCAAACAATTAATTTCATGAGTCCAACATCCAGCTGTGCAAGAAAACTTACAATATGACAAAAGTCATCTTTTACAACAAGAAGCCCAACTTTTATTCTGAATCTTGGAACTTAAACACAAAAATACCAATAATAAATAAAGATTTGAAGCACCAAAGGGGTCTCTGTTAAATTGAACTTGAATACTAATTAGGCTATTTTTGTTATCCATGAACTTTTCAAAAAGTTAAGCTCTACATTATTAATATTATTATGTTTAATTTTTTTAGAAGACCAAAAGGAAAGTTGGATGTGCTGGCCAGTTTATGTTCCCAATAAATGATAATAGGCTACCATTTTTTTTCCATTTTCATTTATAACCTTAATTGGAACTCCCTTTTTTCTAATAATGTATGATATAATAAATTTGCATTTAAAAGGAAGTACTATGATGACCATCCATTAAGCTAACCATGCTAAAAATAGTGCTTAAAATGTCAGTAAAATACAGAATTTAAATCTGATTGTTAAATGGAACATAGGGTGAACAATTGCAAAAAGGTCTACTGTTTGAGAAACAGAACCACCCCTTTCACCAGGCCGGCTATGGGCCTGTAAATATAATAATCTTCAGACAAAAATAAGTATAAATATATGCCCTGTTTATTAATCTATAACATATAACGGCAATTTCAAATAAACTGGACAGCTGTCTCTATTGTCAACATCAATATATATTTATAAAAATCATTACACCGACCTATCCACGTACACATTGGTCTACAGTCAACACTTTCTCGGTTACAGGTAGTCCAGAATGCAGCCGCCAGATTGATAACAGGAACTAAGAAAAGAGATCATATCTCCCCATGTCCTCGCCTCATTGCACTGGCTTCCTATAAAATTCAGAGTTGATTTTAAAATCCTTCTTTTTACATATAAAGCTTTGCTCAATTCAGCTTGTAGACCATTAAGGTCCCATGATCAGTTTCTTTTGTCGATCTCTCGGTCTCGCTGCAAATCAAAAGGTGATCGAGCTTTCTGTGTTGTGGCCTCAAGGCTCTGGAACAGTCTCCCATTGAACATCAGGATTTCTCCATCCTTGGATACTTTTAAATCTAAACTAAATACTTATTTTTACTCCATTGCCTGTGAGTGACTCATACATGTAATTTCTTATCTGTATTTTAGTATTACATACATATATATTTCCTTTTCTTACATTTTTAATACAAGTTTTATTTTATTAAATATTTTTCTCATTGTAAAGCACTTTTGATTAACTACGGTTGTATAAAATTGTGCTCTATAAATAAAGTATACCTTGCCTTGCCTATCCTGAATCCTGAAGGTCATTTCCCCACATTTTTAACAAAACATGGTCCACACATACTGTTGTTGTTTTGTTTGTTATCTATTTGGTAAATTATTCTTACATGCTCTTATGATTATCACTGAAATTATAAGTGAGCTGCTGAAATTATTTAATGTAAATAATTACATACATAAACCTATTTTATACATCTATAACCTCAATTTGAAAATGGACAATGGGTTTGGATAGCTGGTGCATCTGTATGTATGCATGTACAGTTGAAGTCAGAATTATTAGCCCCCCTTTCAATTTTTTTTCTTTTTTTAAATATTTCCCAAATTATGTTTAACAGAGCAAGGAAATTTTCGCAGTATGTCTGATAATATTTTTTCTCCTGGAGAAAGTCTTATTTGTTTTGCTTTGACTAGAATAAAAGCAGTTATTAATTATTTGAACATTGTTTTAAGGTCAATATTAGTAGCCCTTTTAAGCTAAATGTTTTTTCGATCCTCTACAGAACAAACCATCGTTATACAATAACTTGCCTAATTACCCTAACCTGCCTAGTTAACCTAATTAACCCAGTTAAGCCTTTAAATGTCACTTTATGCTGTGTAGAAGTCTCTTGAAAAATATCTAGTCAAATATTATGTACTGTCATCATGGTAAAGATAAAATAAAACAGTTATAAGAAATGAGTTATTAAAACTATTATGTTTAGAAATGTGTTGAAAAAAAACAGAAATTGGGGGAAAAAAATAAACACGGTGGCTAATAATTCTGACTTCAACTGTGTGTGTGTGTGTGTGTGTGTGTGAAACAACCTCAAACAGATTTTATGATTCAGCTGGTTTAAACATTGCTCTGTGGACTTTGGACACATTCTGCCTACTGCTATTCATCTTTAGCCACACATACAAAATGCACAGAAAGTTGAACATGAAGGAAAGTGAACAGACATGAAAATAAACACATTTATTGATAAATACGCTTAGATTGTTCTTTAAAAACATCAACAAATGCATAATACACTCACAGATAAAAAATATACATGTGCTCTGAAACCAAATGGAGGCATGGGTCTTCCAAAAGACAAATGTTTTTATATGATTATGCAGACAAATCACACAGTAAATGCTGCAGTATCAGCTTCAGAATAGATCTCACAGAGGTTATGCTTGCTGGTCATACATTCACACATTTAAAAATTGTGACTTATGATGTGTGAACAATTCCTATTCTTCTATGTGCGTCTCTGTAAATGGAAATGAATGCAAATGTTTTAAATAACAGCTTAATGTATTCAGTCAACTTCAGTGCACTAAATGAGATCAAGATTAAAGGTCATTTAAAGGAATAGGTCACCTATAAATCCACATTTTGTCATTATTTACTCTCCATTGACTTGTTCCAAACCTGTTTGAGTTTCTTTGGTTCTGTTGAACACAAAAAGCTTCATAAAACACTTTGATTTTCATAGTATTTGTATACTACGCATGCCAAAATGTCATATTTTGTGTTCAACAAAAGAAGGGAACTCATAAAGCTGTAGAACCATTGAGGGTGAGTCCATTTTCAGTTTTGGGTGAACTATGGCTTTAAGAGTTTCTGCAAAATCCCACTAAACCAGACAGACAGCAACAACGTAACAAAAATTCCATGTTTGCACTCCTAACTTGAGGCAACCTGTAACTAGTGACGTATTGCAAACACACTAATACCAACATTTCCATGGTAAATAATTGTGTCATCAAACTTCTCCGCATTCCAAGCAGTGCTGTTTTGAAACCTTCATGAGTTTCTTTTTAGGACAGCTTAACATGTGGACAAGAATATTCAACAGAGATTAAATTACACTTTAAATAATATCTGTATTTCTTTATTCACGGTTTTGTTCTGTTTATTCATGGTTGTGAATTGCATTATTGAAAATTCAACTGTACAATTGATTTTTATTCACATTTTAGTTGTTTGAAACTATATATTGTGTAAGAAATTATATATAAAAGTCTTTAAAATAATTGAAAAGTTCTGAGAGTTTGCTACACTGCAAAATATGCGTTTCTTAATTTGGGTTTTTGTCCTGTTTCTAGTCCAAATATTTAACAATTCCTAAATCAAGAAGCATTTTCTAGACAAATAAAAAACATTGTCTTGTTTTAAGTTGAGTTTTTCATTAAAACAAGCTAAATAATCTGCCAATGAGGAAAGCAAAATAATCTTGCTCTTCGTTTTGACATAATATTATTTTTTTTCCCACATTGGCAGATTATTTCGCTTGTTTTAAATAAAATCTGACTTAATTTTGGCTTATTATTTCTTAAAACGATATTATATGTTTTGTTCGTCTAGAAAATGCTTAATGATTTAAGAATTTTTAGATATTTGGACTACAAACAGGACAGAAATCCAAGTCAGAAACACATTTTTTTTTTTTTTGCAGTGTGCTGTTTTTATACCGTAATTTACAACACTGTACTATTAAAAATGTCAATAAAAGTTATTTCAAACATTTCAACATCAAAAGTGTTGGAGGAAAGGCTGCAATCCAATTCCATAATGCAATTTAAAAGCATAAATAAACGTGAAACATAAAATCAAAAAATACTAAATCAAGTAAATTTATAGATATTTTTACAGCGCAAATATAAAAAGAGGTAAAAATCATAGGAAAAGACATTTATTGGTTAATTACCGCATTCTCCATAAGTCAGTGCATGTCGGATTGTGTCATCAAACTTCTCAGCAGTGCTGTTTTGAAACCTTCATGAGTTTCTTTTTAAGACAGCTTAACATGTGGACAAGAATATTCAACAGAGATTAAATTGCACTGTTAATAATATCTGTATTTCTTGATTCACGGTTTTGCTCTGTTATTTATAATTGTGAATTGCATTATAGGAACTTTATCCATGTGGTCAACTTTTCATATTGAAAATTCAACTGTACAATACATTTTTATTCACATTTTATTTGTTTGAAACAATAAATTGTGTAAGAAATTATTTATTTAGTCTTTAAAAGAACTGAAAAGTTCTGGGAGTTTGCTACACTGCAAAATATGCTTTGCTTAGTTTCTGTCCTGTTTCTAGTCTAGTGAGGTAAGCAAAATAATATTGCTCTTTGTTTTGACATAGTATTATTTTGCTTAACACATTGGGAAATCATTTTGCTTGTTTTAAATAAAAACTTATTTTAATTTTGGCTTATTATTTCTTAAAACAAGATTGAATGCTTTGCTCGTCTAGAAAATGCTTATTGATTTAAGAATTTTTAGATATTTGGACTAAAAACAGGACAGAAATCCAAGTCAGAAACACATTTGTTTTTTTTTTTTTTTTTGCAGTGTGCTGTTTTTATACCGTAATTTACAACACTGTACTATTAAAAATGTCAATAAAAGTTATTTCAAACATTTCAACATCAAAAGTGTTGGAGGAAAGGCTGCAATCCAATTCCATAATGCAATTTAAAAGCATAAATAAACGTGAAACATAAAATCAAAAAATACTAAATCAAGTAAATTTATAGATATTTTTACAGCGCAAATATAAAAAGAGGTAAAAATCATAGGAAAAGACATTTATTGGTTAATTACCGCATTCTCCATAAGTCAGTGCATGTCGGATTGTGTCATCAAACTTCTCAGCAGTGCTGTTTTGAAACCTTCATGAGTTTCTTTTTAAGACAGCTTAACATGTGGACAAGAATATTCAACAGAGATTAAATTACACTGTTAATAATATCTGTATTTCTTGATTCACGGATTTTGTTCTGTTATTCATAATTGTGAATTGCATTATGGGAACTTTATCCATGTGGTCAACTTTTCATATTGAAAATTCAACTGTACAATACATTTTTATTCACATTTTATTTGTTTGAAACAATAAATTGTGTAAGAAATTAGATATTAAGTCTTTAAAAGAACTGAAAAGTACTGGCAGATCTAAAAATTCCTAAATCAAGAAGCATTTTCTAGACGAGTAAAAAACATTGTCTTGTTTTAAGAAATAATACATGAAAATGAACCGAGTTTTACATTAAAACAGGCTAAATAATCTGCCAATGGGGTAAGCAACATAATCTTGCTTTTCATTTTGGCATAAAATTATTTAGCTTACCTCGTTGGCAGATTATTTAGCTTGTTTTAAGGAAAAACTCACTTTATTTTGGCATATTATTTCTTAAAGCGAGACTATATGCTTTGCTTGTCTAGAAAATGCTTCTTGATTTAAGAATGTTTAGATATTTGGACTAAAATCAGAACAAAAAAAAATCCAAGAAACACATAATTTTTACAGTGTGCCGTTTATGTACCATAATTTATAACATCGTACAATGTAAACTGTTAAAAATTTTAATAAAAGCTACTTTCCTAGAGGAAAAGGATGCAATCCGATTCCATAATGCAACTCAAAAGCATAAAAAAATGTGGCGAAAAACATGGTCACAAAATAAAAATTAAGTAAATTTACGCATATTATTCACAGCGTAAATATAAAAACAGAGGTAAAAATCATAGAAAAAGACATTTATTGGTTAATTAATTCATTTTTCCTTCAGACAGTGCATGTTTCAGAAACGTATCCCTCAGGTCCTTTCAAGCATACTACAAAACAAGCTCAGAATTTCCACCTGAGATTTTAAAAACAGTTCACACTCTCTCTAGTCACTCTCAATAGGAACTGCTCTGTGTGTTTCCAGAGTCTGATGTGTACGTGCTGCTTTTCTTCGAATACTTCAGCGCACTAAAAGAAACTCGCATTCTCTGGGCAGTGCGCTCACTTCGGCAAAGAAAAGTGTTTCTAACATGCTCCCTGAATTCATCCGAGATAAAATAATACACGAATGGATCAACACAGCTGTTCAGACTGGCCAAGCACAGCGTGGTGATGTAGAAACCATAACCGCTGTTCTTCACTCCATTAAACAGCAGAGCGTAATGCACCATCACCATGATGTTACTAGGCGTGAAGCACACTAGAAACATCACCAGCACCGTCACAATAAGGATGATAGCCTTTTTTCTCTTCTGAACGATGCTGGGATCATTCATCGAGCTCTTCAGGGCGCGCAGCATCTGCACGTTTGACACTATACACACTAGGCAGGGAACTACAAATCCCACAACTCCCATGGTCAGGAAGTAGATGCAGGGGTAAAGTGATTGGCTGGGTCGAGTGACATCATGGCAGGTGACTATATCCATGTTGGTGACCTTCACGGTCTGGTCGTAAAGATACAGAGGCACGGTTAAAGCCCACACGACCAGCCACACGCACACTGACACACACACCGCCAACCTGTTGTTCCTCTTCTGCTGGGAAAGTGGATGCACAATGGCCCAGTACCTCTGGACGCTAATGCATGCGATGAAAGCTGTGGAACAGTACATATTGCCGTAGAAAAATCCTACTAGCACTTTACACAAGGCTTCTCCGAAGATCCAATGATTCCCATTAAAATGATAAGCAATTTTCAAAGGGATCCAGATTACAAAGAGAAGGTCGGCCAGTGCTAGGTTGGCCATAAAAATGGATGATGGGTGCTTCTTCTTGGTTCTAAAGAGAAACACCCAGATGGCCATGGCATTGGTGGGCAAGCCCACACTGAAGACGATGATGTAGAGCACGGGGAAGAAGATCTGCGTGAGCTTGCTGTTCAATACACCAAGAGCAGTGGAGGTCACCGATACACCTTCCTTAGTTTCTTCACCAGTAAAGCCTCGATCCCAATTAGGGTTAATGCTTGCTAAACACAGAGACGGATAGATGGGGCATTAGATGATTTGATTAAACCAGTGGTGTAAAGTAACAAATTACAAATACTTAAACTACTGTAATTGGGTAGCTTTTCTCAGGAATTGTACTTCCGTATTTGGAATTGTACTAGGCCGTTTTAAAAAGGTGTACTTTTAATTTCCCTCGAGTACATTTTTAGAGCTGTATTGGTATTTTTACTCCACTACTTTCCTTCAACCTGCAGTCACTACTTTATTTATTCCTGTCTATGGGGATTTAAAATTACCAGTCCTGCGATTCCTGTCCAATCAAAGAAGGTAGATCAGAATATAAATCACATCATAATGAACTACCTCAAGACATGGGTGATTTATAATTGCAGCAAACTGTAAGGAAGCATTAAAATGTCCAAAAGTTGTCCAGGGACTGTTTAGATCAGGGGTCGGGAACCTTTTTCACAAAGAGCAGTTTCTGAATATTTTTGTAAATTAATTTTTTTTAAAGAGCCAATGATATTACTATTATTAATACAGGTTTGAATAAAACCTTTACGTCCATGCACAACTCAAAATAAAAAAATATAAGTCTATGAATTCAAAAAGGACAAATAATAAACAAAAATGTCTTTACGCCATCACCATTTATAAATGTTTTTTGAATTTTAGGTGGCGACGCAGTGGTGCAGTGGGTAGCACGTTCGCCTCACAGCAAGAAGGTCGCTGGTTCGATCCTTTGCTTAGTTGGCTTTTCTGTGTGGAGTTTGCATGTTCTGGCTCCGGTTTCCCCCACAGTGTGTGTGTGTTTGTGTGTGTGTGTGTGTGTGTGTATATGTGTGTGGATCTTTCCCAGAGATGGGTTGCGGCTGGAAGGGCATCCGCTGTGGTGACCCCAGATTAATAAAGGGACTAACCCGACAAGAAAATGAATAAATGAATGAATTTTAGGTTCCCATAGAAATGTAAGTTGTTTGCCCTTTTTTTGGGTCACGATTCAAATTTATCTGTACACTCGAATAAGTTGAAGTGTCTTTTTATTATAAACTGAGTTCTTATTCATTTTGCTGTAAAAAGTTATACTACAGAGGAACTGTAATTGTATTTTCAATGGGAAACCTCTGGATTTCTGGTGATGGTTATAATTTTTTAAACCGCAAAATATTATTGAAGGGAGACTGCTGGAGAGCCACACATTTTTGGTCACAGAGCCACATGTGGCTCGCGACTCATAGGTTCCCCTACCACTGGTTTAGATGCATGTCACTGATGAGAAGATGACTGATGTTTACTGTATTATGACCGAAATGCTTATATCTCAATTTAGGTAACTACATTGCTTCTTGCAGACCCTTACAACTTTAAGATATTATTTGTTACCATGAAGGTAAAACTGATATATCAGAGAACTACATAAAGTTTTTTATTTTGCATGGAAAATATTTTATTCACAAAATTTTTTTTTCTCCAATTCGCAGCCTTCTTTTTCACATTTTTTAATTGAACATTGATGTTTTTATTAAATTTCTTAGACTAGTTAATAATAAGAAAAGTAATAGATTCTTGGATTATTATGATAAATATTTTGGAAACATCACGGATACATAAGTCCATGTTTCCTCTTGCTGTATTTGTGTTTTTTATGTATCTCTATTTTTTTTCTCTTTTGTTTCCTTTTTTTATTTAATTTTTTATATCTTTATATTATTTATCCTGATCTGTTATTATCATTATGTTTTTCGTGTACAATTGGATTTTGTATGTTTGTTATTGAAGTCAATAAAATTTTTTTAAAATGCATCGCTCCATTGTTGATGTGACAAATGTGAAAGTGGATGTGAGATTGATTTACCTTGGTAAATCAAATCAAATAGTTTGAAAACATTGACTAGGTTTACATGGACGATATTATTCAAAGTACTTACACAGTGTATCAATGTACAAAAAACAACATTAACTTGTTAGAAAATTCACAAATAGTCTATAATTTGGCTATAATTAGTCACAAATAAAACAATAGTCATGAAACTAAATAGATAAAAATACTAAATAAAAGTAAATGAGGTGAATGAATAAAATCAGTCCTAAATATAAACCCATCAAGTTTACGCTTGTCACAATCAGAATATTTCTCACATATTGTAGTCTTTGATGCATTTGCGAATAAATACTTGGGTCATTTTTTATACTGCAAGATTAAATTGTCAAGTGATTATATGAATTAAGAAAAGAGTTATTCTACCAAACACAAATTTACTTACGTTATCACTGAAACATTCAATTCTGACAACAGAATATTCATTAATTCATTTTCCCTTGGCTTAGTCCCTTAAATATAAGGGGTGACCACAGTGGAATGAACCGCCAACTTATCCAGCATATGTTTTACGCAGCGGACGCCCATCCAGCTGCAACCTAGTACTGGGAAACACCCATAAACACTCACTATGGCCAATTTAGTCATCCAATTCATTTATAGAGCATGTCACTGTGGGGAAAACTGGAGCACCCGGTGGAAACCTATGCCAACATGGGGAGAAGGGACTCAAACAAGCAACCTTCCTGCTGTGAAGTGACAGTGCTAACCACTGAGCCACAGTGCCACCCCAGAATATTATTACATAAATAAAGCATAAATTTATTTACATAGCAGCAGCTTTACAGACAACTGAATCCTTTTATAGTAAATACTGGTATACTTCAATTTCAATTATGACAGGGCCTATTCATTACACAGAATTATATTATATTTTATTTCTGCTTTGTACTACACTGAAGAAAATTTGTGTAGTTTTGTGGCTGTAAATGCCACATAATAATAGCAAGGTGTGAACTATTGAACACAGATAGATAGACAGATAGATAGATAGATAGATAGATAGATAGATAGATAGATAGATAGATAGATAGATAGATAGATAGATAGATAGATAGATAGATAGATAGATAGATAGATAGATAGATAGATAGATAGATAGATAGATAGATGGATAGATTTGTGGATGGAGTTGGTTTTATATTTGCATATTCATTCAATGACAACTTGTGACATGTTCCCTATAGTGTTTACTTTGAATATTTGGTCTGTAATGATATGGAAGTATGACTTCAAAGCAACATTAGCACTATTTATTTGACTCTGAAAAATGTTGTACGAAGATAGTCTTTAGCTGCCATAATTTTTTGACTATTTGGAAATTGCAAAAATTGCTTTTTTTGAAATTATATTATACAATACAAAACCAACTTTATCTCAATGATAGACAGACAAAAAGACAAAGTTTGTTTTATATTTGAATATTTATTCAACGACAACTTGTGACATGCTCCCAATAGTACTTACTATGATACTTTAAATATTCGATCTGAAATCAGATAGAAATATGACTTCACAGTAAAATGAATAGTGCTAATGCTATTTTAAACAATGGTGTACTTTGATTGTCATTGACTGCCATAATGTTTTGACTATTTAGAGTTTGCAAAGAATGCTTCTCTGATATTAAATTATTAAGGAGGAAGTGTGTAAATACCAACGTTACCTCAAAGATTAGATAGATAGATGGATAGATAGATGTGTAACATCACAATTCTAAAGTGAATACTAAACAGAAAATTAGACATTTAGCAGGGCTAAATTTTCATTTATTTATGTCAAGTTGATTTTGAGATTATGAATGGCAAAACTAAATATTACAACCATTATTAGACATACCTTAAAGTAAATAAATTGTACATCTCTTCAAAACAGTGCATCACTCTCCTTTAATTTCAAACACGTTTTCTAGCATTACAATCTAGTACGGAGACATCCTCATTAAACGTAAACAGGAAAACTAATTCTTACTTTGACTAGACAGGTTCACGGCGATGAACAGAAGCAAAGCCGAAATCCAGATCAGTCCGTGCGCCATTACTCCTGCGAAACTGAGTGGAAATGCTGAAATTATCTGATATAATGATTTTACAAATGTAAACAGTGTCCGCTTTTTATAGACAGGTGTGGAACTTGGCGTCCTTCAGTCATGTGACCTTACCTGGAACACGCCCTTCGGTCCGGCACGACGCACGAAATACAGATTACCGCAGATATGCATGCATACAGCTTTACATATTTTATATAGGCCTATGCGTAGCTTAAATATAATAATAATAATATTAATAATAAGGCGTTTTTTCTCATACCAAAAGCGCTACAAGAATGTAAAATGATCATGGAGATATCACTCCGCTGTCCCGTTAACATTAATGACGACGCGTAATATTGAAACGTATAATACACTATATCTTCCATAAACTTGTCAGTATTACACTAGATAGATAGATAGATAGATAGATAGATAGATAGATAGATAGATAGATAGATAGATAGATAGATAGATAGATAGATAGATAGATAGATAGATAGATAGATAGATAGATAGATAGATAGATATTAGCACTATTTTTTGACTGCGAACAACGTTGTCAACAACATATTCATGATCTTTTCTGTTATGGCAATATCACTCCGCTGCCTTGTTAATATTAATGACGCGTAATATTGCAACATATCTTCCATGAAATTGTCAGTATTACACAGAAAAAAGAACAAACCAATAGTGAGATTACTGTTTTGTCTCTTCACTTTGCTATTTATTCTGTTCTGAATAGGAATAAGATTACCCAATGTCCCAGATTACCCAAATTCACCCTAAAAAACACAAAGTAACTTCAGTTCAGAAGTCTGCGAGCAATACTTTCTGCCAAAATGCCGTTTATAATAACCAATGATTAATTAGCTGTTTTGTTTGGAAAATTAATTGGTACCACTCTGATGGGAGATTTTTCATTTAATTAACACTGTGTTAGTCCATTTCTTTTGTTATCAAACTTAGACTGCATTAAAAGACAGCCTGCAATGTGTAGGACAGATATGGATGAACACTGCCACCAAGAGGATTTCTGTACTACAGCCTTTTTGTTAGCTAGATCAACACACAGTGCTCAGCATATGAGTACACCCCTCACAAATCTCTCATTTAAATTCCTATTTTCTAAAGGAAGCTTTACAATATTATATTTGTGGATATACATTAGATTAGCCAGCACTGAAGCCAAATCTGGAGTTAATCAAACAAAATAACTTACGATAACGGTCCAAAAGCTAGTACACCCAAATTTATGTTATAGAAAAATGTTAAAGACAAATTTTAAAAAGAGGGGAAATCAAGAGAAGCAAAAAAAAAAAAAATGAAAAATTTAGTTGAAAATTTGTAGTTTGCAATTTTTTCCCAATATTTTGTATGAATTTAAATGTATTATTTTTTATTAATTCTTTTATTTATGATTTATTTAACATTTTTACATTTTACAAACATATCAAACAACCCTTATAGAAATAGTAATAAAAATAAATAAATAAAAATAAATAATAATAAAATAAAACCCAACTACACAACTAAATGCGTGGCAGACGTCCACATTTATACAACAATCTCAATGTTACAATTTGAGTAATGAAAGATTACAAACTGATGTAATATTATTGTCAAGAGCTAGCAAGGGTGATCAGTATCTTGGTGATCAGATTCTAAAAATGTTCGTTGACTAAATATTATCTTAATATATATATATATATATATATATATATATATATATATATATATATATATATATATATATATATATATATATATATATATAATTTTTTTGTTCAAATGCACTAAATTAAATTGGGTAACACTTTATTTTGATAGTCAATTTGATTATTAGACTGTCTACTGCTCCTTCAACAGACATTTAACTGACTATAAGAAACTTTGCTAGTACATTTCAACTTACACCTACTGTAACCCTAACCCCAACCCAACAGTCTACTTATAATCTTCTGACAATTAGTTGACATGTAGATGCAATGTAACTTAAGTTCATCAAGCGGACCATCAAAATACAGTGTGACCATAAATTGCCTTTATTCACTGAGAAATGGATGAACATTCATCTTCAAAATGGGGTGTACTCAATTATGCTGAGCACCAGGGGCGGACTGGCCATCTGGCAATTCTGGCAAATGCCAGAAGGGCCGGACCATTTTTTAAATGTGGGCCGGTCAGCTATTATTTTTTTTCATATGCATTGTTTTTTTAAATGTAGGCAGCTTTTATCTCGTGCGAGATGTGAATAATATGAAGATGATGGTGATAATAGTAAGAATAATAGTAAATGTTAAGCATTGGCCCAATCAGCAACACCCGACTGGTTTCGAGATGGGCCAATCTGAGGTTACGCAGACATAATCAAAATTTGGCAAGAATGTCAAACAAACAGTAAGTGCAACACAAGCTAATTGTCAGAGATGGACCATAAAAAGGGAAAGGCAGTCAAGTCAGACATTGCCAATTACATAAAATTAACTGAACTAGTCTCGAAAGGGGGCAGTGCAGTGGCGCAGTAGGTAGTGCTGTAGTCTCACAGCAAGAAAGTCGCTGGTTTGAGCCTCATCTGGGTCAGTTGGTGTTTCTGTGTGGAGTTCGCATGGGTTTCCTTCTGGTTTCCTTCACAAGGCCAAACACATGCTATAGGTGAATTGGGTAGGCCAATTGGGAATTGGGTAACCCAGTAATGGGTTGCAGCTTTGAGGGCATCCACTGTATAAAACATATACAGGATAAGTTGGCGATTCCCAGATTAATAAAGGGACTAAGCCGAAAAGAAAATGAATGACATGATTGCATATATAAATGGGTTGTTTTTGTTTCAGTCATATACATTAAATGTTTAAATATCTCTTAAATAGGTATTGCTTATATAATTCATCTGTACACCAATATAAGTAGTGAATGTGCGTGTCCTTGGGTGGGGCTGTGTCGGTGTGGTAATGTGGGCTGGTGTGGCTACAATGCCAGGGCTGATTTTTAGTCCCAGTCCGCCCTTGCTGAGCACCGTAAGTGCATGAGTGAGCTAGACATTGCCAATTGTGGTTTTGGTGTAAAATATTCATTCATTTTCCTTCGGCTTAGTCCTTTTATTCATCAGGGATAGTCAGAGTAGAATGAACTGTAAACTCATCCAGCATATGTTTTACACAGCAGATGCCCTTCCTGCTGCAACCCATCACTCATTCACAATCAAAAACAACAGCCAATTTAGTTTATCCAATTAACTGTACTGCATGGTATGAATTGTGGGGGAAACCGGAGCACCCGGAGGAAATCCACGCCAACACGAGGAGAACATGCAAACTCAACACAGAAATGCCAACTGACCCCGCCAGGACTCAAACCAGCGACCTTCTTTCTGTGAGACGACAGTGATAACCACTGAGCCACCTGGTGTAAAACATTAAAATCTAAACCCCATTAAACACAAATGTTGTCTTTGTGACATGATTTCAATCCAGTCAGTGACTAATGGGCATAGTCAAATGGGATTACAAATTTTATTTATTTCTGAAAACATATAATATAGAGCGATGTGGGTGATATATGTTATACAGACACGACACCTTAGCTATATATGGTTCATTTGTGCATAGAAAGACATTGAACATGTAAACTTCAATTGTTGAATAGACCATTTCAATGTGGTCATGTCATTGACCCATAAACATTTCCTGCCTGTTGTCAAACTATTTTAATACATGCAACAAGAGGCAGTTGAATCATATCCTAATGTTAAAGGGTCACGAAACACCAAAACACATTTTTTGAAATGTTGACAGTCATATATGTGTCCCACGCTGCTAAAAACACTATTAGGACACATTTATTTCACTAAAAAGCGAAAATTGGTTGTTTTTGAGCAAATTCGTTCTTCTGGTATAAAAATAAACTTTGAAGCTGCATCACGCCGATTAGATACTTGTGTGTATTCCAGCATGTAGACTGGATGTCTGCACCGGTGAGTACAACCTGACGTCTTTAAGCTTTTAGCATTAACTCATGAGAAAGACTTGGTTCAAACCAATCATAGCGTTCTATTGTGAATGAGGTGCAATTTCATTAATATGCAAGATAGCTTCGAAGACCTTTTACCTGTTACAGTGTTCAGAGAGATGCCACGTTGTGTTGCCAACCCTAATTAAAACAAGTAGAAGAAGAAGAACTGTTTGGAGACCTGGGTCATCAATGTTGCGTTTATAAATGTTCCGCAACAAAGGTTTTGTTTTCAATTCCCCAGTAAGAGTGTGCAGCTGAACTCATGTGTGGATTACAGTGGTCTGCTAACATGCAACACAAATATGTTTGTAATGAACATTTTTTCCCCGAGAGCTTTTCACATCTGGAAATGGTGAAATCCGGATTTGCCGCTCATCTTCTTTTAAAAAAGACGCGGTTCCAGTTGGTGTTGATTGTCCTGTCTCTACAGATTTGGTAAGTGTGTGATCAGTGTTGTTTGTTTATGCTATTTAGAGGCAAAGTTAGTATCATCAGCCGTACTCTTTCAGTTTTTAAAGACGTGCCTTAGTCAAACTGATTTAGTTATTAGGTTTAGAGTACGTTAATATCAATACAATATTATGGACTGAAAAATCCTTTCTGCTCTCCGAATGTAAACATGTAAACACCTTAAATCAACCAATTACTGTCGTGTAGGATTTTCACATTTTGTAACAGGATTGTCTATACACACACGGCTTTCTGACGCTACCTACTAAGTGCATCTAAGTTACAGAGAAATGTGGAGTTTTTTTTTCTCATACGACATGCAGTATCAAATTCCATTAAAACAACACTCTTTCAGCAGTTCCTTGCATCCAATATCTCGTTTGTCACGGGAGCATGCATGAAATGTTTATGAAAGTAAAAGTGCCAAACTGCAGTTACAGTTGACAAATTAAGAATTAAACACCCAAAATTACATAAAACTCCAGAGGAAAAGAGCAATGACGTTAATCAAATTATGTGCTATAACATGTTAAACGAGATCATGAAAGTAACTCATGTAAACACCTTAATCATATCACTGTGTGATTCAGGTTAAGGCAAAGCATTCGATCACTGATGTCCATTTAAACGTAGTCAATGTTTTCAAACAATTAGATTTCATTCATTCATTTTCTTTTCGGCTTAGTCCCTTTTATTAATCTGGGGTCGCCACAGCGGAATGAACCGCCAACTTATCCGGCACGTTTTACCCAGCGGATGCCCTTCCAGCCGCAACCCATCTCTGGGAAACATCCACACACACTCATTCACACACATACACTACGGACAATTTAGCCTACCCAATTCACCTGTACTGCATGTCTTTGGACTGTGGGGGAAAACGGAGCACCCGGAGGAAACCCACGCGAAAGCATGCAAACTCCACACAGAAATGCCAACTGACCCAGCAGAGGCTCGAATCAGCGACCTTCTTGCTGTGAGGCGACAGCATTGCCTACTGCGCCTCTGCGTCAACAAATAGATTTGATTTACCAAAGGAAATTGCAAAGGAAATTGCATTATTAGTCAATTTCCTTACCATTTTTTTTTCTATTTTATCTATTATTTTTTGTAAAGCTGCTTATGACCATTACATGTATGCAACATCCCTAGTTTATTATTTTCGTTAAGGCGAGATCTCATACTTAGAGGTAAAATGTGCTTATAAAATGGCAATGTTTTCCCAGTGCTGGGTTGCAGCTGGAAGGGCATCCGCTGTGTAAAACATATGACAGATAAGTTGGTGGTTCATTCCGCTGTGGTGACCCCAGATTAATAAAGGGACTAAACCGAAAAGAAAATGAATGAATGAATGAAAAGGCAAAGTTATATAACGCCTGAATCATCAGAATTGGTACTCTGTATCGGCAGATCACCATGACAAGGAATTGGTACTCAGTATCGCCTAAAAAAATCCTGATAGGAGCATCCCTAGTTAAAAAAGCTGTCGTAACATTATTTATCAATATGTGGACCTTTCAGGATTCTCTGAAGCTATGGAAATAAAAAATGTAAAACATGAAATAAGTTTGGACCATTGTTATTGATTACATCCCTCAAAATGGCCTATAATCTACAAATACATCACCTACAATCGTAGATATATACACTAGATATATTGCATACAGACCCAGAGCATGCGTCAATAGCGCCGCCAAATTTGTACAGTCCCAGGACAAATGTCATTCAACCACACTGGTCAAGACTAAAGGCAATCTGAAGATGCTGGATTTTAGCGCTGTGAACGAGTGTAGTAACGAGCAAACAAAGAAAACAAAGCACAGAAGCAGAACATTTGATAGGTAACATTTCGTTTTTTACATTTTTTTATGTAAGTTATGTAACTTTTGTGCTTAACAAGTATTGATTATAATATAGTCTCTTACTGCACTGACTATTAAGGCTGATTTATACTTCTGCGTCAAACGCCGGCGTATGCTACGGCGCTGACGCATAGCCCTTCGCCGTGGCCGTCGCCGTCACTGACGTGCACCTCTCAAAAATGTAACTACACGTCGCAACAATGCGTAGCGCAAGCTCTGTGATTGGTCAGCTTGGTAGCGCTGATGAGTCTGGGCCGGACCGAGTTTACCTCATAGTTAAAGTTGTTGCACGTCCGCCGGTTCCGGCCTCAAAATGAGCGCGTTTGAGCCACTTGTACAACCAGGAAGTGTTCAGAAAAATCAAAACAGAAGCGAAGAAACTCGACACAGAGGAACATTTACACCTCACTGCCAACTAGCGTTTCGGAAGTGTTAATGCAGACCAACAGAGACAGCGCGCAGAAGTATAAATGCACAAAACAAAACTTTCCATCCGGAGCTCCTTGACGGGACTCCACACTTGTAATCAATCGCTCGCGCCATTCGCGCGGCTCTCGGTCCCCCCCAGACTCGTCAGCGCTACCAAGCCGACCAATCACAGAGCTTGCGCTACGCGTCGTTGCGACATGTAGTTACATTTTTTGAGAGGTGCACGTCAGTGACGCCGATGGCCACAGCGAAGGGCTATGCGTCAGCGCCGTAGCATAAGCCGACGTTTGACGCATAAGTATAAATCAGAGGATAATACATTTCTATCCACACAAAACACACGCTCTTATCAGGAATGCCCGTGCGGTAACTTATACATCGATGTGGAAAAGTGATGTAAAATAATAATTTTCGTAATTTAATCAAATATTTGCATACTGACCACCGGGAAAACTCCCGATCACAGACATAAGTATAGATGTGTGTGTATCTCTGGCTCTGGGTGGCCAGTCCTTCACTGCACCTTAGTCTCACATTCATTTCAAAGAAGCGCTACCCTGTACTAAGATGGCAGCTCTATTGATGCATTCCTTCCAATACGCAACAATAGCTATAACAACCTTCCATTGCTGTTGTCGCCAGAAATGGGGGTGAGCACGTATTTCACGCGTGCAATCAGAGTCCATGCATTCTAAAGTTGTTTTCAAGCAGAATGTCTTTATTTGTGCAGGTGAATTAAACAAAGCCTCAATCTTTGCCTCTCCTTTCTTCTTTATCATGTCAATATAACAATTACTCCATGTACACACAGCACATATCTAAACACTGCAGTTTTCTGGCTAGCAAACAAGTTACTCTGTAGCACGGTCAAAAACCGTGTGCTTTCCCAAACCTGACGCTCTTCCTCGCTTACACAGGCACCTTAGTTATAGTTTTCAGCTAGTGACACCTAGTGGACAACATAAATCACAACAACACAAAAAATGGCTCCTACAATAGCGTAGGCGACATCTATTACAACATCTAATATAAATATCTATGACCTACAATAAAGCACACAAAGGACGCAGCTTTTTATTTTCTTGCTGCGTGTGAGCTATGGTAGACGATGGCTCCTTTTTTTTGCCTTCTTGCACCAAAACACAGATTTGATTAGCTGTCTGTAATGAGATGAACCATAGTAGTACAGAAGTGGGTCTAGAAAAACACTTGCGCTCCCCAAACACACAGCCAACATGTAAGCAGCATATGATGAATTTCCTTCACCGGTTTCACCTCTTCTTGCTAAACGAATGCAGTGATACAACAAGATGCCATGGGTTGGAGCAAAACACACCACAAACTCCGTCAGCACAGAAATAGTCATGATCACAGCTCTCCTTTTGTTGGAGAAAGATGAAGAAATGCGGTCAGACTTTACACTGAGCACATATATGATGGTGGAGTAGCTCACTAAAGTGATGACCAGCGGCAAGAAGAAATACAGGCAGGAGAGGATGGAAAACAGGTATGCATAATATGACGATGCTTTGTCATTGGCCTTCATCATATCATGACAAGTGATGCCTACATCTTCAATCTTAACTGTTTGTCTCATTAAAAGTATTGGCACAGTACCAGCGAGCGCCAGCAGCCAGACTAATGCGCATATGAACGAGGCTTTCCTCGCATTTCTCCAGGTTAAAGAAGCGATGGGAAGCGCAACACCCAGCAGTCTGTCCACACTCATGCACATCATCAGCAGTATGGAGCAGTACATGTAGCAGTAATAAGCTGCAGTGAGCACACGACACGCCGCCTCACCAAACAGCCAATCAGAAGCGTTCAGCTGGTAGTGGATCTTCAGAGGCAGCAGCAGGGCGAAGAGCAGATCCACACACGCCAGGTGAGACATGTAGATCACCGCTGGTTTCTTTTCTCTGATCCTGCAGGTGAACGTCACCAAAGCCAAAGCGTTCAGAGGCAAACTGAGGAGGATGATGATGATGTAGAAGGACGGCATGAAGCGGGTGACCAGCGTGCCTTTCAGGAACTCAACAGCATCAACTGAGGTGTGTGTTGGCTCAAGGATTAGTGTCGTTTTGATTCGGATCTTGCGTGTACAAAGTGACCGTTTAGGTTGTGGTGGCGGAAAGTACATTAACACTCCTAAAGGAGGCAGAAGGCAGAAAGGATCTGTCAACAACACAAAAACCCTAAGTGACATTCTCATCACTGTTGCCAACTCATTTTCAGAGGAAGTTGCTAACTGTGGAACAATTTGTCGATAAAAGTTACTAAATGATGCTGTAACATCATTGTGTGATGACGTCATAATGTAATTGCAATAGGGTTGGGTCGATAGATGATGCCATGGTCCATCGACGATAGCCGATAGACATCACGATGCTGAGCTCAGCAGCAACCCTTGCAAAAAACACACACGGCCCTGTTTACACTAATACGTCTTAGCTTTAGAATGGCATTTTAGAATGAAAACGATCCACGTCTACATTGACGTTTCATCTAGCATTTCTGAAAAGCCCTCCTTCCACACTTTACTGCTGAAAACACACATCATGTGACCCCACACACGCACACATGCACAGTCATTTGCTGCAGCGTACGCATGCGTCTGAGCTCCAGCAGCCAGCAGAGCAGGTGCATTCATTCATTCATTCAGCAGAGCAGGTGCTTTGAGCACAAAAGCCCAGAGAGCAGTGCACGTTGGACAGTTTATCAAGGATGTACCGCTGGATCGCGTCTCACTATAGTTGTTAAATGCGATATTTAATTAATCTTGTCTCCATCCAACGACTCTTTGGTCTTTTGAATCTATCAGGTAATGTGTCACAGTGTCAGTACACTGCTTCAGTCTTTCACTTTCACACTTGTATTTAGTAATTTTAGTGAAAACCTCAGATACTGTGGGTTGGTTGCTGTTGGCTGTGCACGCTTTTTTACCAACTGAGTTTGTCGATGCCATTATAATGACACAGATCACCCTGCCAATTCATGCCAGAGTCCCGCAGAAAAAGTGATTGACAGGCGGTCATTTGTGTGTAACTTATCTTTATTTATTTATGATTTGGTTATGGGTAAAACAAAGATTATGCGGGTCAGGTAGTTGAAACGATAGGCTACAAATAATTAATTTGTTATGAATTAATTATTCATAAATATTTAATTCACCGCTGCCTAAGATGACGATGCCACCATCCATCGCGATGTTTCACATTAGACATCGTACAATGCCAAATTGGTCAACATCACCCAACCCTAAACTCAAAGCTGCAAAATGACTTGCCATCTCACTATTTAAAATATATTCAATTATGGCACTGTATTGGTAGTTAATGCTGCTTAAATGAACAACAATTATACATGTTTACAACACAGTATCAGTAAATAAACAGATATATCAAACGATTGTTTAGTTACTATTTTAATTATTTCAACAAAAATGTCAGATGTGTACTATTGCTGTTGCAACAAATATTTCTGGTGTTCCTGCAGAACCAGAGAGGCTGCAGTTTCAAGACAGCATTTTAGGATCCTGTATTATGGAACTACCCCTAAACCCAATAACTAAACTAACCCAACCGGAACAGCAGGGTCCTAAAAATGCAGTGCTAGAAATGCGTTCTAATCTCTTTAGTTGTGCATGAAAATACTATTATTATTTTTTCATTTACAAATATGTTCATTTGTTAGTGATAATTTTATATATCTTTTCGTTTATGGGCCTATAAGAACATACTTATATAGAATGATTTCTAATATATTTGAACATCTATGTATCCAATGGCTAAAAAATGTAAGCTGCCATTTTTGCGATATTTAGAAATCTTTTTTGCATATATGACATTTATTTTCTGCATGTAGAATCCAAATATGAACTTGCATGTCATATATGTAATTTGCATATATTTCATGTATAATATTTCTGTATGGGGTACTAATACAGGACGGAAACATATGATCATCAAAGGGTTAGTTCACCCAAAAATATACTTTCTGTTGTCAATTAATCACCTTCACGTCATTCTAAACCAGAAACCTTCGTTTATTACCAGAACTTAATTTAAGATTTCCTAGATGACATCTGAGAGCTCTCTCCTCCTCCATAGACAGCAATGGATTATCAAATCCACCTCCTAGCTCCTAGCTTAAATAAAATTAATATTTTTGTCTTATGTGCGCACAAAAGTATTACTGTAGCTTTATAGTATTCAGATTTAAGCCCTGAAGGCATATGGTCTGTTTTTTGTATTTTTCTGCACTTTGAATGAGTCATTTTAGATTTTTATGATACTTTTAGATTTAATATAAAATATATTAAATATTTGTATTGTGAAGATGACTGAAGGTTTCAAGGGTTTGGAATGACACAAGGGTGAATAATAAAGACATCATTAAAATTTTTGGGTGAAGTCTATAAACCAAGACACTGCAGGTAAAAAAGGGTAAAACATTAAAAAATAGTTGTCACCATACATCCACAGTTGATTGATTACATTATGAATTTCCTTATTTTGTATGCCAAGTTTTCTACACATTTTGGTTAAATTATGGAAATAACAATAAATAATTTAATATTAGAGATCATTTGCATATTATTTGTCTTCATATTCCTCCATGAACAGCCACCTTAAAGTAGTGGAGGGGTCTGAGTGCGCAAGCTCTGTGATTGGTCGGCTTGGTAGCGCTGACGAGTCTGGACGGGACCGAGAGCCGCGCGAATGGCGCGAGTGATTGTTTACAAGTGTGGAGTACCATGGAGGAGCTCCAGATGGAAAGTTTTGTTGTGTGTTTACCTCATAGTTAAAGTTGTTGCACGTCCACCAGTTCCTGCCTCAAAATGAGCGAGTTTGAGCCACTTGTACATCCCGGAAGTGTTCAGGAAAAGCAGAAAAGCAGTGAAGAAACTCGACACAGAGGAACATTTACACCTCACTGCCAACTAGCGTTTCGGAAGTGTTAATGCAGACTGACAGAGACAGCGCGCAGAAGTATAAATGCACAGCCACGCGCGTTGCATGCGCCGTGGGTTACGCCGGTCACTTGACGCAGAAGTATAAACCAGGCTTAAGAGCTATGTTGTCGGTGGCTAATGCCCCTGGTATGGTCTCTCAAGGCAAAAAGGTCTTAGGTGACAGGCCAGACTAAGAGAGATTCAAAAAAACGTTGCTTGGTATGCTGCAGCCCGGGGCCCACCCTGGAGCCAGGCCTGGGATTGGGGCTCATATGCAAGTGCCTGGGGGCTCTTTATTTCATCCCTCGGAACCCGACTGGGCTCAGCCCAAAGGAGCATTGTGGGAACATCCTCCTGCAGGCCCACCACCTGCAGGGGGAGCTGTAAGGGGCTTGTGCAATGTGGAACGGAGGGTGGTCAAAGGTTAGGACAACGACAACCCCACAACCAAAACTGGCTTTTGGGACATGGAATGTCAACTCACTGGGAGGGAAGGAGACAGAGCTTGTCCAGAAGTTTGAACGGTACCAACTAGAGCAGGAGTGCCTAACCCTGTTCCTGGTGATCTACCTTCCTGGAGACTTCAGCTGCAACCTTAATCCCAAACCTGTCTTTAATTAGCAAGTGCACATTTAGACTCTATTCATTTGGTTTACTGGTATTTGATCAGAGTTGGAGCTAAACTCTGCTGGAAGGTAGATCTCCAGGAACAAGGTTGAGCACTACTGAACTAGAGATAGTTGGGACCACCTCCATGCACAGCTTGGGCTCTGGAACTCAAGTTCTTGAGAAGAGCTGGACTTCCTTCTATTCTAGAGTTGTCCGCGGTAAAAGGCGTTGGGCTGGTGTGGGCTTGTTTTTAGCTCCCTAACTTAGCCGCCATATGTTTTAGGTCTCTCTGCCTGTACTTTGTAAAGTACTTGGCCATCTTGGAGTCCTTGGGAGGGGTGCTGGAATGTGCTGAGGTTCCATTGGGGGACTTCAACGCAAAAGTGGGTAAGGACGGTGATATCTGGAGAGGTGTAATTGGGAGGAATAGCCTCTCTGATCTGGATCCACGTGTTGTTATGTTGTTGGACTTCTGTGCTAAATCACAGTTTGTCCATAACAAACACCATGTTGAAGCACAAGCATGTCCATTAGTGCACATGACACCAGGACACCCTAGGCCAGTGTTCGATGATCGACTTTGTGGTTGTATCATCTGATCTCCGTCTGCATGTCTTAGACACTCGGGTAAAGAGATAGGGCAGAGCTGTCAATTGATCACCACATGGTGGTCAGTTGTATCTACTGGAAGAGGGGAATGCTGGACAGACCGGGCAGGCCCAAACATATTGTGAGGGTCCTCTGGCTGAACCTCAAGTCAGAGGGATTTTCAACTCTCTCCTAAAGAAGAGCTTTGGCCATATCCCGAGGGAGGGTAGACACATTGAGACCGAGTGGTCCATGTTCTCCAACTCCATTGTTGACACAGCCATGAGGAGCTGTGGCTGTAAGGCCTGTGGTGCCTGCCGTGGCGGCAATCCACAAACCTGGTGGTTGACACCAGAAGTAAGGGATGTCATCAAGCTGAAGAAAGATTCCTACAGAGCTTGGTTGGCTTGTAGGACACCCGAGGTAGCTGATGGGTACTGACAGGCTATGCGTTCTACAGCTCGGGTGGTTGCAAAAGCAAAAACTCAGGCCTGGGAAGAGTTTGGGGAGAACATGGAGGAAGACCATACCAGTCAGCCTCAAAGAGATTCTGGCAAGCTGGAGGAAGTGTCTGGGGATAAGGAAGTCTGGGGTTCCCTCCTTAGACTGCTGCCTCCACAACCTGGCCCCAGATAAGTGGAAGTAAATGAATGAATGAATAAATAAAATGCATACACTTCTAGCAAAGAAAATGTCAACAGATGATGCAGTCTGGGTTTAAATTCATTTTGATGTGCTCTTGGTATGCTCATTATTTATATATAAAGCAATCTAATTCTCTTTAAAAGAATTCAACTGCATCATGCATTAGTTTTCCAATACTTGTATTATCTTTTTTTGTGTCATCCACAATTTGGTTGCATACAGTACATTTTTAATGTCAGCAATATGGGAGACCCCTTTACCTGAAATGGGTGAAATCTTGTGTGATGATGTCTTCACTTTAATTGTGCTCCCAGAGCTCTCTGTAACCAAAAAGCAAAACACCATCAGTTTGAGCACACAAGCTACTAAAAGCAATTACTACAGTCACTACTTCGCTTTTAATTTTAATCACTTTATAAACATTGCTAAAAGTAGCCAAATAAATGTTAAAAATAGCTAAATGCGTTGCTTAGGTGCCTTTAAAAAATTTGCTAAATCTAGCAAAAAAAATTCTAAGTTGGCAACACTGATTCTCATATACTGTGCCACATAGAAATCTGATATATAGCAATTAATACAAATTACAAATAAAACATTCATTCATTTTTTTTCGGCTTAGTTCCTTTATTAATCGGGGGTCGCCACAGCGGAATGAACCACCAACTTATCCAGCATATATTTTACGCAGCGGATGCC